GAAGCCTGTTGAACTTTAAGTTCAGTACATATTAATGCACAGAACAATATTTTTATCTAACATGTTTTTACACATCCCACGGAACATGGGTTTAAGTCATTTCATTTCATGATAGAAAAGGCTTGTCCACTTTTAATACAGTAATAACGCTGAAACTCACATTTATGCAGCATTGTCCCTATGACTCATTGCAGTGAGTTTTACATCATAGTTTGGATGACTAGCTGCCTCTTCCTGCCCTGAGATTGGAATCAACAAGAAGTGTTTTCACTTGGTCTTCTTCACCCTGCCCACATTTGCAGAACCTGTTGGTAACCCCTGATAGTCTGTCTTACCTACAAACAAGAGTCATGAACACTTTGGAAACATGCAAGCCTTGAATTTCCAGGAGTTTTTTACTTTATAGAATATTAAATATAGAACATAAAATTGAGGTCACCTATACAGACCACAAATGTTAAGAATGTTTCAGGGCCACAGCAGAGTTGCTAAAATTTGTTAAAAATTGCATTTTCAATACTGAGATTATTTGCTTCAAAGTGTTGCAAATGTCTAGGCACAACTCTGTATATATCCTGCAATATGTGTGAGCAAATAACTTTAATTAGACAAATCTTGACATGAAGAAATAACCCTACCATTAAAATGTTAATGATTTGTCAGTTTGTTTCCTTGGACAGAGGGAACCCTTCCCTGTCTATCATATATTTGATACTTCATCAGTAAACTAGAAGTGAGCAAGTAAATAAGTGGTGTTTCTACAGGGCCTGAAGAAAACAATGTGTTCTCTTAAGTGGCTTAAATAACTCCTCCCTGAACATCGTATTACCTGATGATTTTCTAAAAATTAATTTTTCTTCATAGGGAGGTCATATGTATACCCTCAGTACAAAAAATGGCTAAAAATCAAGCTTCTTAGGCTCAATTATGTTTCCACCACTTACTGGCAATGTACATGGTTTCCATCACATTTCTCATATTTGGGGAAATTTCTTCAACTATTTCTACCTCTGCTCCTCATCTGTAAAATGAAAATCTTATTTTTATAAGTTTCTGCAAGATAATACTTAAAGCAGTTCTAGGCATATAGTAGGTCCTCAGAAAATGGACCTACTATAGCCATTATTGTATAATCAAAAAGGGCGAATATTCAAAACAACTATAATTTTTACATGTAAAAGTTAACCAAACTGTTAAAAAAGATTGAAATGATATGTTCTAATATATGCCATAAGGAAAATCACATGTGTTTGCTTAGGTTCTGTGCCTTCTGTTCCACTTCAGTATCTGTTCAGTTCTTGGCACATAATTTGTTGAGGAATGAAAAAAATGAATGATTAATAGATTAATTCTTACCACATACCTCTAGATTTTCTTCAGGCATGCTTGAATAACTCCAGAAAAACTGTTTGCTTTAAGAAAGATGGTGCTTAATGATTATGAAAAGTATTGTAGTTTAAATTCTGTATAACTCAACTGACAAAATTAATTGCTTTTCTGTTATGCTCTTCATGGATTTTTATTGATCCTTTTACATAGAACAAAGCCTATTAGTATCTTTAAGCTTTAAATAAAGATTACAGTGTTTAGTACTTTAATAAAGAATGGAAATGCATGTTCGCGTGTGCACATGAGACAGAGAGATATTTTAAATACGATCTAATTTTTATTTGTATGTTTCAGTGCTATCCATTTTCATGAACATCATTATAAAAATTGATAATTTCCCTGTAAAATCTAAGGATATAAATGCCATCTTGCTTGGTAGTATTTCTGAGAATTACAACTCTAATAATTAGATACAACTTTTCTACTATATTAAGAGAAGACAGATTTTCTTTACCTTAAGAAGGGGGGGAAAATGGAGACAGCTGTACCTGAACAATAACAAAAAAAGAAAAAAATTCTACTTATGCCTTTAGGTGTTTGAATAATTTTCAATTTCTGTATTCTTTCTCTTCTAATGGTCATGAATCCATTGTGGTTTAAAGTATTGAGATTGCCCTTAAATTTATCCGTATCTCCTATTATCCATAGAGGGGAACAGCAAAGGTTGTAGAAAGAATGGAAAGCGACTAGATACAAAATCAATGTATACAAATCTATTACATTTCTATATATAATCAATGAAATATCAGAAAATAAATGGAAAGAAAAACAATTAATTTTGCAACTGCTACGAAAAGAATAAAATACCTAGGCATACTTAAAGTATGTGGAAGACCTATACACTGAAAACTACAAAGCATTATTAACAGAGATTTAAAAATATACCTAGAAACAAAAAGATATTCCATATTTATGAATTGGAAGAATCAGCATTGTTAAAATGACCATATTACCCAAAGCAATATATAGGCTTAATGCAACCTCCATCAAAATACCAATGGCATTTTTTAAAGAAATAGAACAAAAAATCTTCATATTTCTACACAATCACAAAAGGCCAAGAATAGCCAAAACAATCCTAAGGGAAAAAAATCAAAGCCAAGGGTATCACAATACCAGACTTCAAATTATACTACAAAATGACAATAATCAAAACAACATGGATTAGCAGAAAATAGAACAGAATTGAGAGCCCAGAAATAAACCCACATAATATGTGGTGATTTTTGAAAATGAGCCAAAAACACACAATGGAGAAAAGAAAGCATCTTCAATAAACAATGCTAGGAAAATTGGAAAGCTACATGCAGAAGAATGAAACTAGACTACTGTTGGTCTTCATATACAAAAATTGTAATATAAGAGCAGTAACAATAAATTACATAGAATAAAATATAGGTACTAAACTATGGACCTTGGTCTTAGAGAAGGTTTTATGAATTTGACCCCAAAGTAAGAAAAGTAAAGGCAAAAATAAATGAATGGGACTATGTCAAGCTAAAAAGCTTTTGCACAGCAAAAGAAACTGCCAATGGAACAAAAATGCAGCAAACCAAATGGGAGAGGATACTTACAAACAACAGCTCCAGCAAGGGGTTAGAACCAAAAATATATAAAGACCCCATACAACTCAACACCAAACAAACTAACAATCCAATTGAGAAAAAAAGGCAGATAGCTGAATAGAGACTTCTCCCAAGAAGGCATACAAATGGCCAACAGATATATAAAAAAGATAATGAACTTTATGCACCATTAGGTAAATGCAAATCAAAACTGCAATAGGATATCATCTCACAATGGTTAGAATGGTTATTATCAACAAGACAAATAATAACAAGTGTTGGAAAGGTTGTGGAGGAAAAGGAACCCTCATTCATGCTGATGGGAATATAAACTGGTACACCCACTACGGAAAACAATATGGAATCTGCTAAAAAATTTAAGAATGAAGATTTTTATTCATATAGGAACCCAAACATAGTTTGGCCAACTTTTCTAGAATCTCCATTCTTTCACAAGGCACATTAGCTTTCTTCCAGAAAGAAGTTTATGGGTCCTTGGTCTCTCCATCCAATATGTATTTTCTGTTTTTCTATTATAGCATTATTATTAAGAATTACCAGAGCCTTTTCTCTGCCAGCTTCCACTGAATTTTTAATTACCTGAGAACAAAAATTTTGTTTTTTATGAAAGTCTGCTTAATATCTATCAGTATATATTAAGAAGTCAACAACAACAACAACAACAAAAAGAGCCATATAAAGAGAGGAATGCATTTACCTTTTAAAAATTGTTACAATCTTTCTTTATATGAGATATGCTCAATTAATCTGTCCTAATTGCTGAAAAAAATGAACTATATACAGGCAAATTTATGTAGAAAATAGGTTAAAAGTTACCAAGGCTGAAGGGAGGATAAAATATGAAAGTGTTGCTTAGTGGGTACAGTTTCTATTTGCGGTTAAGGAAAAATTTTGAAAATACAGTGGTGGTGCTTGTCCACATTATGAATGCAATTAATGACACTTGCACTGTACATTTAAAATGGTTAAAATGACAATTTCTATGTTTTATACATTTTACTACAATGAAATTAAAAAGTAAATCACCAATAGGAAAGGCACTGAAATACTCAATATAACAAATACATATTTTCTAAACAGGAAAGTTTTTTTGCTAAATAAAGAATTCATAAAAGGAAGCTCAGCAATCAGTTCTGGAAACAAATACAATTGAAGAAATAATTATTTTTCATTTATTTGTATTTAAGAAATATAGTGCTGCAACAGAAACCACCATTAAATAATGAAATGAATTTAAAAAGTGAATACTTGAATGATAAAAATAAAGCAGCATTTAAATGAATGGACTTCTAAAGGCAAATGCCTGGGAACAGCCCGGGCCCAATTTACCACTGTGCGGCTCACAGTCAGACAATAGTGGGTGGGAACAGTGGGCAGTCCACATCTGCGTGACCACATCAGCATTCATTGTTGGTAGGAAATGCTGTCACGTTTAACACAGAACTTTGGGGTCGGGTCGAGTGGATTTGTGCCCTAGATCTGCCTCATGTTTTGGGACAAGCGTAAGATTTTTAATCTCTCTGAAAGTGCAGTTTTCTCATTTAACAAGTAAAAGGGGAACAATCCAACATTATTGCTTTCTTTATGTATGTGATGAGCACCTGGTAAAGCCAATCATGCAGATGTTTTCACTTCCTCATGGCACAGAGGTCCAAAAAGTTTGTTGAACAAATAGTTATCCTATATAAAATATCATGAGTTCTAAAAATAAGCTTAGTACCAAATACTTCTTTGTATGAATATTTCTTTCTTTCTTTGGGGGGGCCTAACCTTATGCTTTTCACACTTGATAACTGATTCAATATTATCCCACCCAAAGTTCCAGGCTTTGGGGAAATACCAACAATGTTCAGAACACCCCATAATTGTTGGCAATCTGTATATTATCTTTCCCAGGCAAACATGCGATTGAAGTTGAAATGCATTCTTTTCCTTCAAAAAGCAGTCCTATCAACATTGATTTCCATGTGGAATTTCTTCTAATTGTTTTCTCTTTTCCTTCCTTACATGCTGACTTTGGTGTAGCAGACCACTTGGGGATTGAATTCATGGGTAAGACTAAACAATTTGCTTCTTAAGTATATGCAAATAGCTAAGTTTGAAATGTTTATAGTGTTCTCCTTCTTCATCTGATTATACTTGAAATGTTTCGTTATTAGATGCTATTAGTGTTAAAAAGTGTTTTTGTCAAATTTTCACTAAGTAATGGCTCAAAATGAAAGACTTAACTACTTATCAGGAAGTCAATTTAATGTTAAGTGGCACTCTGGAATCATACAGAAGTTGGATTTGGCTCCTGGCTTTGATTGTTTCCCTAATTCTCAATTTTCTTACCTGTAAAATAGGGATAATAATTACTCCTATTTCACTGCAAGTATAAATTGCTTAGCACAATGTTTACAAGACTCAAACAGTCAATAAATGGTAGAAAATAATTGTGATGCTTTTAAAATGTCACTTTTGTTATTTTCTGCTTGAATTCCTTTTTCTTTTGCATGATTATTACTTTGGATACATTTTGGTATTAATCATAATTTGGAGTATGAACTATATAAACTTTTCATTTTATAAAACTAAAATATTTCTTTTGAAAATACTTGCAGTGAATGGCATGTTTTTAAAAGCATTAGAATGCTTTACACAAGAATTATTCTTTATATTCATAATTACATTAAGAATGGGTCACACTTTTATGAGTCTATTTTTTAAGTACAATTAAAGAAAAAATGATTCTATGGGTTTAGCATGCATCATGGTATTAAAATGAAAATATCCTTAAGAGTTGAAGTTTGTGAAATGGAAAAGACCTAAATTTTATAATTTTCTGCTTAATTGACTTTTGCTAAACTTTGAATTTTTCTCTTACATGATAAGAATATGAATACTTTCTTCATACATGATACACTTATTATGATAACACTTATAAATTTACTTGTATTTACTTATCCATTCACACATTCTTTCAGCAAATATTCATCAATTGCTTACTGTAAGCAAAGAAACAAAGAAAAATGCTAGAGATAAAATAGCAAATAAAAACGAGCAAAAAAAAAACTAAAAAGGAGCTTATAGTCTAGTAAACTTAGAGATGATAATCAGGTAATATTACTAATAAATATAGAATTGCAAGTTTTTGACACCTTTGCCAGACAAGACATAGGGAAAAATTGATAGATATTTAAAACATGAGAATAACAAATATTTGAGAGGAATTGATGTTGATGTTTAGAAAGAGGAGATGTCTAGAATGACTACAGGGCTTATTATTTTCATATTTATATAAAAATCAACTGATCTGAAATACAATAATGGGAAAGGAACAAATTTATGAGAGGTGTTTACTAGATTATATTTGGAAATGTTAAGTAGAAGTCAAGTTGGTAACTGTATTACTGGAAGTTTTGAGGGTTAATTAAACATTAGTGATTGCATATTTATATTGGAATTGAATCTCCCTGTTGTGTGATATTATTTACTACTGCTCTATTATCTCAATATTATAATTTAGAAAAAGCAGACAGACAGTTCAATTTCTACAGGTTTCAGGCTTTTCTGGATAGATAGGATTAAAACTCCTAAGGGCAATAAAATTCAGACTGATATTCAAATGTAGCATTCTGGACTGTAAGGTAATATGGAAGGAAGTGAAGAAGGGATGGTTATCTCAATGGGATGAATGAGTAGTCATCATGGGAGTGCTCAAACAAGTTGCTGGAGTAGAAAGGAGGTTATAGCCACACGGACTAGGAAGTACAGAAAATTATAGTCATGGTCATGCAGTTAAGTATAAATCGTATGTTGAAATGGACATGTGGTTTGAATTTTCCTCATTTACTGATGAAGGTGAAGATCAGCAGCATGGAGTCCTTAGAATCAACAATCATTTTGAGGGAAATGGATACTAGACTAGTGGATACAGCAATTTGTCCTACTGGACTGGGATGGTTATAGGTTATGTAGCAAAAAGGTGTGAGCACAGCTTTTACCTCATGAGTTGTGGATAAGAATAGGGTAGCTTCAGATCCCACAAGAGGTGTGGCCAAGGTTATAATAAGCAAATTGCTACATTGATGTTAATTATCACTGTTCAAAGTAATTGCCACCAATCACCATCTTCCTGGGCTTTTCCAGAGGGCTTCCATGACACTGGTACCTTATAGTATAACAAGTTGCTAAGGAACCTAGATATGTAATAAGAGGTATGTTAAAACATTTAAAATATTTAGTTATTGGTAGGTGAAAAATAAAAAGTTATTATGTGACCACCTATATGAAACTTGAGGCTAAGGTCATACTGAATCTTGCAAAAGTAGGAATAATACCATATCTATAAAGCCTTATAAACAATGAATTATCAGTTTGTGAATATTTGATTCCAGAAGTAGAGACTGCCTTGCAAGGAGGGGTTGTGCAGCAAGTCAGACTTAAAGGGAGTATGTATGCATATAAATAATGGCAACTAATGAAGAATTGTCTGTAATGTTGAATAGATTAGTAAATAAACTGTTTTCACTGATCTCACTGACTCTAGACTATTCCCACAGGTTGCTCCTTTACATATATAAAATTCTTTTTGCTACTATGGAAACAACTCTTTTCATATTTAACTTGCAATTTTTAGAATTCCTATAAGTAAATTTTTTTCATTGCAGTTGAATGTATCCCAGCAATAAGGCATCTCTAGATATAAATTCTAGATATAGATATAATGTAAGCATAATCTCTATACAATTAATCGTGTTGCTATATTGGTGTGCCAAAATAATCAGTGCCAGTTCTGTTTTAATCAGTTCTAGAATACCTTTATTCTCAGTGCTCATCATTCTTGCTTTGGACAATGTTTGTTTCATCTTTCCTTTAATTGAAATATGAGTCACAAGGTGATAATCTGAAACTCATATTCCTTTCCCCCAAGTCTTTGTATTCTCAAAAGCCATATCTATGTATACCATTATTTATCAGACTCAAAATCTGAGTGCTCCATACAAATTCTGATTTATAGCGGGGAACTGCAAGTCATATGCTTCAAGAATCTTGTTATTTAATCAACATGGACTTATTATACTATGTCTCAGATATATAGTATATTGAAGATGTGCATATAAAATCTACAGTCCTTTATGTTGAAGGGCTCTGACACCAAAAAAAGAGAAAGCTACACATAATTGAGGCGATATAAGAGATATTATAAATAAAAATGGCATAGGCAAAATAAAAGAAGGAAGGGAAGAAGGAAGAATAGATGGAAAAGGAAGGGAGGAAGGAAGAGAGAAAAAAGAAAAAACCTAAATGGCTTGGGAAATTCTGAGACAACTTCCCAGAGAAAGAAGTATATAAGCTGAGTACCAGCCAAAATTGTGCCCAGTGATGCCGTAAGCCAAAGATAAACTAGCTCAATATTGCTTCCACTTTAGGGTAAACCTTTCTATTTCAGCCTATCTGGGTTTATAAGGTCTCTAGAGTTACTACTTTAGCACTAGAGAGAGAATATAAACTTTACTAAAAACACTTCACCAAAAACTTTTCTGAGCTGATTTATTAATTGTAAAGAATAATTATCCTACTAAGTAAGCCATTGCAAATGTAATGCCTACAAAACTATCAGCATTCAGAATAACTTTTTCTTAACTACATAAATGAATTTTTCTTAATGATAGTTCTTGGATTGCTCCAATAGAAATTTCAACAACAAATAATACTGCTCTGGAATACAGTAATAGTTTAAAAAATTAGTTAACTAATTTATCGAATTAGTTAACTAATTAGTTAACTAATGTATTGAAAGATGAATGAAAATCCCAAATTATGAAATGTTTGTGAAAAATTTTAGTCCATATTAAACCAATAATCAAAAATACTTCTTGAATTTATAACAACCTGTTCATTCATGCATTCAAAAGGGAAAATTGATATTTTTAGGGTCAGATGTTTGAACTTTCACAGTGTGAACAAATCAGTAGATGGAATAGATAAGTACTCTTGAGTCATGTGAGAAATCCAATCAATAATCCAGACGAGACAGATGGCCAAAGGTAACATCAGATTGGTAACACTTGGAAGTCACATTGATCATGAAGAGATATTATCTCATCTGAGAAATATGTGGCTACTGTGTCTGCTACTCAGTAATGGAGCACATCTCATTACATCCATTTGCGCTCTTTGTCATGCAGCTATTTCCTTGATATATTTGATACTCTAGTCATCAAGGATGTTTGTATAAAAGCAGGTGCAATGACATTTGCAAACATGTTAGCAAACTACAGGGAAAGCTGTAGATTGTGTGGGAAATATTTCATGCAAATGTATTTCATTCCTGTTAAAAACAAAACAAAACAAACATCAGTTGGCTGCCTCTTGCATGCCCCTAACTGGGGACCTGGCCTGCAACCCAAGAATATGCCCTTCCTGGGAATTGAATCGGTGACCCCTAGGTTCTTGGGCTGGCTCTCAACCCACTGAGCCACACCAGCCAGTGTGTGTTACATTCTTATACGGAAAAATAAAATGAAGTCTGTCAATTAAATGTCTTGGTTATGATTTGACATTGTTTTTAAAATAGATTAACATATTTATGCAAAGTTTGGTTGAGTCAACACTGGAACTTTTTTCAGATCAAAATATTTATAAAATGGGAAACATCAATTTTTTAACTAAAATCTTTTTAAAGTAATCTCTATATTTTGAAGTTTAAGAAGAAAGAAATGCTGAGTTTCTCTAATAAGAGGCTTAGAAATGTTTACTGTTTAAGTATGTATATAGATTCAGAATTTACAAAGTTATTACTTAAACTTTACCATATTTTGAGTACCATATAGCCATCCCCTCACGTAAAAATAAAGAGGTTTCACGATGTTTCGCTAAGCACTGAAGATAATATCCTGAGATGTGGCCAGTTTCTAACTCTGCTTGAATGATATGAAGTGGGGTTAGTTTCCTTAATGCTACCCTCTTATTATGGATGGAATGAAATGTGTTCCTTTAAATCTAGCAGGCTCACATGTCAGTCAAATAAATTCATGTGGTGCCCTAATTTTTAAATTTCATTAGAA